CACACACACACACAAAGGTGCCAAGTCAGAAGTGAAAATCATTTCAATGAATAGTACTTGACTGAATGAATATCTTTTGGAAAAGTGAACATCCGTCCTCACCTCCCATCATATCCCAAAAATTAACTCAGAATATGTCATTTGATCTGCATGTAAACCTAAAACCATAATATTTCTAGAAGAAAGCATAGGAGAAGATCTTCACAACCTCGGATTAGGCAAACGCTTCTTAGATGGGATGCCAAAATCACTAACCATAAAAGAAAAAATAAAAAGTGGGACTTGATTAAAATTAAAGATGTCTGTTCCTCATAAGACACCATTAAAGTGAAAAGGCAAGCCATGGACTGGGAGAAAATACTCACAATACTCGCCAGAGGACTTTTATATTAAGTTTTTAAAAAAGAAAAACTTAATATGGCCAATAAACACATTAAAAGGTGTTCAACATTCTTAGTTATCAAGGAAGTTCAAATTAAGGCCACAATAGGATACCACTACACATCCATTAAATTGGCTAAAACTAAACAGACTGAGCACGCCAAATGATAGTAAGGATATGAAGCAACTGAAACTCTCATTATGTCACTTGTAAGAATGTAAAATAGTACATCTTGTTTGGAATATATTTTTGCAATTTCTAAAACATTCACCTACCATAAGACTAACGCATTTCATTTACCCAAAGGAAACAAAGACATCTGTTCACACAAAGACCTGTACATGAACGTTCTTCACAGATTTATTTATAATATCCCCAAACTGGAAATAACCCAAATGTCCATCAAGTAAATGGGATAAACAAATCATTATTTATCTGTATAGAAGAATACAACTCAGCAATAAAGCAGAAAAGAACTATTGAGACACGAAGAAATAGACATAAACCTAAAAATCATTATGAAGAATGAAAAATTCAGGCAAAAGACGGTGCAATAAAGCAGAAAAGAACTATTGAGACATGAAGAAATATACATAAACCTAAAAATCATTATGAAGAATGAAAAATTCAGGCAAAAGAGGGTACACACTGTTTAATTTCATTTATACAGAATTCTAGACAACACAAAGTATTCTATAGTGACAGAAAGCAGATTAGTGATTTTCTGGGGAAAGGGGTGGAAGGCAAGAGAGAGAGAGAGACAGGACACAAAGATCTCAAGGACACTTTTGAGAATGATGGAAGTGTTCATTGTTTTGATTGTGGTGATTACATAATTATATAACGTATGTCAAAACTGATCAAACTGTAAAGTTCAAATATGTGCATTTTATCATACTTCAGTTGTACCTTGATAATACTGTACCAAAATGAGAGAAGGAAATGAGAATGCAACTTATTGGCAAAGGCAATGAATGGATACCTCTGTGGATTTTATTTCCAGCCCTTTGATGGGCTAGATAACCTAATCACTTCACTGTAAAACACTTAGAAATGATGGGTAAACTATTAACAAACATCCTCATAAACGTATATTGATTTCACTATAAATGCACCCACGTTCGGTCTACCTTTGGAGAGTAGAGGGAGAAATTTCTGGTCCCTGAAGCAAGGCACATGAGGACAAGGACTTGTAGCATTTGGGACTGAGACCTCTTCATATTTCTACAGGCACAGAAGGGATACACCCTCAGTGAAGGGTTGGTCCAAGAAAAATTTCACTTCCTGGCCCAGGCTGAAAATAAGGAAGCTCTTCTGCCGTGGGAAATGTCTGCTCTGAGAACGTGTAACCAGCCTACTTCCATGGGGGTTTAGGATTTGAACTTGTACTACCTCTGTGGGCAGGTAACCCCAACACAGAGAAATGAACTTAAAAGTGGTCCAGCATGGATATGTCCCTAAGGCACCTAGGGGGAAAAAAGACACAACGCCTCGGTATGGCAAAATCCTTAATCAAGCCTCACAGGATTTCCCCCAATAATAGTCCACTGAAGTGACCTCACAGTAAAAATTAATAAACTACAGTGAACAAAATGCCAGGCTGGATGAAGCACAAGCTGGAATCAAGATTGCCAGGACAAATGTCAATAACCTCAGACATGCAGATGACACCACCCTTATGGCAGAAAGAAAAGAGGAACTAAACAGTCTCTTGATGAATCGAAAGTGAAAGAGAGTGAAAAGGCTGGCTTAAAACACAACGTTTAAAAAACAAAGAGCATGGCATCCAGCCCCTTCACTTCAGGGCAAATAAATGGGGAAAACAATGGAAACAGTAACAGACTTTATTTTCTTGGGCTCCAAAATTACTGAGGAAGGTGACTGCAGCCATGAAATTAAAAGATGCTTGCTCCTTGGAAGAAAAGCTATGACAAACCTAGACAGCGTATTAAAAAGCAGAGATATCACTTTGTAAGTAAGTTACAGAATGATAAATATAGACTGGGACTTGGTTTTGAAGAAAAAATATAAAGATAATATATTTGTTTGTACACATAACACAGTATGGAAATATATACACCAACATTATTAAAGGGTAGGATTTGAGGAAGATTAAGAGTGCAAACATCTGTATATAAACTGACAGTTTTTCTTCCTGAAAATGAGAATTTGTAATTTATTTAAATAAAGAAAAAATATTTTAAAGAGCTCTTTTGTTTGAAATAACAAAAGCAGGTATATTTGTCATTGAAAATAATGGACAAAATCCAGTTTTCTAAAATCCAATTTTCTAATTTTCTAGTAGTACAACTATTAGCTACAGGTAAGTCAAACAACAGACAGAGGTGGACAAACCCAAGGTTCTTTGAAAATCCTGTTTTTCTCACTTCTCTTTCTTTGGTGTTCTGTCACCTAAAATGTAATTATTCAGAAGCTGGTTTTTAGAAAGAGTCCCTCTTCTGAAAATAATGCTTATTGAGAACAACCTGGACATGATTCAAGAACTGACTGCAGGTCACAGTTGCCTTACACAATAAATTTTATAACTTGCCCCCAAAGAGATTGGATCACACACAGCATTAGAAAAGATGGTGAGATCATCTGCTTGTTTGTCCTTGGCTTAGATTTAAACAGGCAACCAAAGAAATTCTAGTCAAAGAATGACTATGTGTAAAAACATACAAATATGAAAAGACTAGCAACTCTACATTTTCAAAAATTGTCTGCGGTGTCTTGTTAGAAAAAGAAGTCTTGTTGAAAAAAAAAAAAGCCTTATAAGGCTCAGAGAAGTAATTTGCTATAGTTCAAAAGTTAAAAGCCTTCTTAGAGATAAGAGAGAAATACAGAAAAAGAGATCATTTCCGAGACAGAATAAATAAATGGATAGTTACCAGATTTTTGTTACACTGAAATTTAGCATCTGAAAAATCATTTTAATAGAGTACAATAATAAATAGATGAATGAGACTGGGCTGACTCCACAGTCTCCTTTTAATGACATTTATCCTCTCACTCTCCAAATTTGGGACATGTTGAGCATCAAAAAGAACAATACACAGAAGTGATTATAAAGTATTAAATGAGTAAAAATCCACGAATTCACCATGATCATTTAAAGAGAGAAAGGGAAAAAATAAAGAAAGTTCCTTTTTCTATAATGTCACCCAATAAAAGTAGAAGGAAAGATATTTAGAAAACCACCATGTTGCATCCCCAAGGCAATAACTGATTCAGACAAGGATCAGCAAAGTAAACTCAAGCCATTAAGTCGAAAGTTATGAAGAACAGGATATCCACACTGTACCAAAGAATCACTCATAAATACTAACCATCTGCAAAGAGGAAAAACAAAACCTTTACAGTGGAGAAAGCTCTGCTCACTAACTTGACTAAGGGATCACTCTTAAATTCAGTAATAGTAGGTAACCTGATATTCTGTTTCTTGATGTGAAGCAATAAAAGTCTGCAAGGGCACTAGTGAAATTTTCTTTCCAAGACTGTTCAAACCTGAATCCAATCAAGCCCTCACTGTTTACAGAAAATAGAGGGACTAGAAGATGTTAAAAAAAAAAAACATAAACAACCAAATCCAGAATGGGGCCCTTCTACAAGACAACTGTGCTGACTTTAACAACCAAATGTCATTATAAAAAAATATGGAGAGGTTATTCTAAGATTAAGATCCTGATGCTGGGAAAGCCTGAAGGCAGGAGAAGGGACAACATAGGACAAGGTGGTTGGATGGCATCACTGACTCAATCGACATGAGTTTGAGGAAACTCCAGGAGATGGTGAAGGACAGGGAAGCCTGGTGTTCTGCAGTCCATGGAGTTGCAAAGAGTCGGGCACTACTGAGCAACTGACAACAACAAATTCTAAGACTAGGGATCTATAGCCAAACGCACAGTATAACTGACTGAATCCTGGTTGGAGGGAGCAGTGAAGCTGCTATTTAAAAAATCTTGAAACAAACTGGAAAGTTATTGAATAGAGATTAAACATTTGATATTAAGAATTATTGTCAATTTTCCTTAGGTGTGATCATGGTGTTGTGGTTATATAGAATCACCTTGTTCTTAGGAAATACCTGGTTTTTATAAATGAAACATCATGATGCCTGAAATTTACTCTAAAATGATGTAGTAGTGTAGTAGGGACAGGAAAGATTACCAAAATCTGTCTTCAACCCACAAAACCAGCAATATAGTTTAACCTAATATATTCATATAGAGTGTTAAAGCATGCATGGCAAAATGTTAACAATTGTTGAATCTAGGTGGTAGTTACACAGGTGTTTACTGTACTATCCTTTCAACTTTTCCATGTTGAAAAATTTTCATACTTAGAAGCTGGGGGAGAGAGGAGGTTTTCACAGAAATATTTTCCTTAGAAAATATTAAATGTACCCTCAGTTTTAAAGAAGCACCTCAACTATTCTCAACAAGTGAACTGCTTGTCCTCATTTATGTACCATCCCTTCGAATACTCTTAAAATCTGCCTTAATTATTGTAAATAATATTTCAAATGCTAGAATAGGCCTAATATAAATCCCACAATAATCAGCACAAGATTTATAGGTGTAAACATCTGGTTTTATACCCAAATAACAAACTTAACAGCAGGAAAACAAATCGTTTATTACAGCATATAATGTGTTATATTAAATTTACACAAAGATATATAAAAACACATACTGTTTATATCATACAGTCATTTAACATCAACAGGAATATCAAAACAAATACTACTCATGCACAAAACATGCATATATTGATATAAAAAAGCAATTTTACACAATACTGTTTACCAAAAAAATTTTTTTTTAAAAAAAGCCCTTCCAAGGCAGGGTCAGTGGTCCAATCTGGACTGGATTGCACGAATATGTTTGGGCTGATATTTAAATGGCACAGTGCTCTGTGAGCAGTTCTGAGCTTGGAGTCGCACCCAAGAGTTATTTCATTAGGAGTGAATTTCTCTGCACCCAAAGATGAAAACTTATACCAAAGGCAAGTTTCCAAAGGAGGAATGGTTGGATCTGCTGTAAATAAGAGAGGGGGAGAAAGGCATCAATGTTGGGTAAATGGCCCTAGAAGGGGTTACTGTAACCAGGGCCTAGGCACCAAGAGTGGCAAAGGTTTTAGCGAATCCTTTTAAGGTATTACCAGCCTCCCTACCCAGATCACCTTTCTGGATGTAGGGTGTGGTCTTCAAGTTCTGAGTCCAGTAAACCAAACAGTTCTGAGAAGAAAACAGAATGGGGCTACATCTGAGAAAAGCAGAATATATAAAAAATGACAGAAAACCATGACTGCCCCTTGTATCTGCTTCACACAACTGTATGTGATACCCCCAACAGGAAAACCCTCATGGCGACGCTGCCCTGAAGAACCAAAGAAGCAAATGCATGTCCTCAAATGCCATCCACCTGACCTCCAGATCAAAAGGTCTCGTCCACTTAACACCTGAACATCAAAACCTGTGCCTTCACCAATGCTCAGACCATTTCAAAGAAAAATCTGATACCACAAAATTCACTCACTGTCACCACCATTAGAAACTCAATATTCACTTCTAACCAGCAAAAAAAAACATTCTTTACCTTCCATTAAAGGCACTAGTGTCCATACGTGACGAAGATGAGACAAAAATTCACCTCGGTTTTCTCTTAACCAAAGGAAAGCACTCCGTGAAATTATTACACACAAAAAAGGCAGACACCACCGACTGGGGGGGAACTAGAGAGCCCCACTCTCTTCACGGAGGACGTGCCTCAGACGGTCGTCATCAGTTTCAAAGAGCCCGACCGAAAGCGGAGGATCTTCTTCTTGAGGTTGTGTGAGGCCTTAATCTTGACGAAGGTTTTGGTGGGGTTGTGGCGGAGGTCGGGAGCCGGGACCGGCTGCAGCGGCAGCGTCTGCACGAACTGGGACCAGATCAAGCCCCCGCTCTCCTCCGAGTCGCTGGTGCTCGTGCTGTCGCCCACGAAGTCGCCCTCGCTCACGCTGGACTCGCTGTCGCCGAAGCAGTTGGTGGTATAGTTGCTGCGCTCGTCCTCGCTGGTGTCCAGCACGGTGGAGTGGAACAGGGACTCGCACTCGGCCGAGTACTCGGAGTCGCTGGCCGCGTACGCGTANAAGAGGAGCCCTCGCTTCTGAAATCCAGGGCCGGCCGCTCTTCCGCCGGGAAAGTGGGGGGCAGCAGGGCTGAGGCTGCGGGAGGGGGCGCCAGAGTGCCTGCCTGCGGGCTGTTTTTCTGTGGCACCTTTTTCAGTGGCTGGACCACTTTGTTCTCTTGCAGCGGTGCCAGGACCCTCCCAGGGCTCTCTTTCGGAGAGGCAGCTGGGATCTGCCCGCTTTCCTTAGAGGACTCCCCTGTCCCAGCGGGGGGACACCTCGCATGTTCCTGGGAGACGGGCTTGGCGGTTTTGGGCAGATGCTTACCTTGAAGTTCGGTAGCAGTGCCTGGAGAACAGCCTTCAGGCGCGGGCAACCTCTTGCTTTCCAGAGGTTCTGGCTTTGATTCTTTTGACCACTGTTTTGGTGGGGAGAAGGCCCCACTGTCCAAAGAAGGGATGCCTCCGGAGGGCAAAGGCACCTGTTTCGAATTCTTAAGGTTCCCACTGTTGCCCTGTGAGACGCCCCCAGTCACTCTGACACAAACGCTCCCATTCCTCAGAAGCCCCTTCGTGGGGTCAGCGTTTACACTGGTCCTCGGTTTGTTGGTCCTTACTGGGTGGGTTTTTTTCTGGACCAGGCTCAGAATGTAACCATCCATCTTCTTGCTGGATGAAGGATGGGGAGCAGACCACAAACTGCTTGGAGATGGTAAGTTCGTGTCTGTCTTGACGGTGTCCAGCTCAGATCCCGCACAGACGTCGTTGGCATGGTTACCAAGCCGCTCCTCTTCCCTCAGCGGGTTGCCGGTCAGGCAGAGGAGGAACATTGGGCTCTGCACGGCCACGGCATGAAGTGGACTGGGGTAGCGATACACATCATTCCCATTTTTAGACACCAGATCACACTGGTACTTGGGATTCACATCTGCAATGACAGCAAGGAAATTAGATTGTGGTGTGGAGGGGAAACAGCCAACTGCCCTTGAGGCCTGGTCTTCACAATGGCCTTCTTTATATTCCAGCCATCGTATGAGATCTGAAAAACATTTAAAGGTACACTCTGAAGAAATGAACTGGTCAGCACCAGCTTGATCAGGCCAGTTTCTATGAAGACAAATTCAGGGGTAGTGAGATAATAACAAAGAATCAACAAATACTAGACAAGCTACTCTATTATTTCACATACAGTTCATACTACTGGATGAGGAAAAAAATAATCAACAAAGGAATTTTTAACAGGATATAACTCTGAAGGAAAAATAATCAGCCATTAAAAATACTTTCAAACTATTGAATAATATATGGAAAACATTTGAAAGTGAAGTGAAAATCATAATTTTATAATTTTATTAAGATGATATAGTCACAGAAAAAAGTCTGAAATGAAGCATGCGAAGATGCTAATAGTAGCATCTCAAAGTGGTAGGAAAGCAAGTAATGGTACTTTCTTCTTTTTCTATTTTCTAACTTGTCAGTAAAAGTATATGTGCTGCATTTATAACTGGAAAAATAAATGTTTTTTGAGCCATTCTTTCTCTGGGCCACTTTCCCTTTTATGTTCTATTCCTGGTTTCCCTTTAAATATTTGAGATAAACTATACTTTCATGGCCTTTCTCCTCATTTTGAATTTTTTTTAAGACCTAATTCTTAATGACATGTGTTTGAATATAACTGTCAATTGAAAGGTCAGGGAAACTAATCTAATTTCAATCAAGACTAAATTTAAATAATAGTCACCTTATGTTTTTAATAGTGATACTAAAGAAGCACAATATTTTATGAAGGAATTTTTGATGAGGCTTTAAAAGATTGAGGAGTAGTACTAATGAATAAAATTTCCACATCTCAAAAACATAGATGCCGAAATATAATGAAATCAAGCTTTCTTGCTTAATTAGATTATTCTGATCTCTTATCCTGGTATATATTATAATATCAAATCCTCTGAGTGACTTTCGCTTCCCTGGTAGCTAAGACGGTAAAGTGTCTGCCTGCAATGCGGGAGACCCAGGTTTGATCACAGGGTCGGGAAGATCCCCTGGAGAAGGAAATGGCAACCCACTCCAGTACTCTTGCCTGGAAAATCCCATGGACAGAGGAGCCTGGTAAGTTACTGGTCCATGGGGTCACAAAGAGTAGGACACAACTGAGTGACTTCACTTTCCTTTCTTTGAGTGACTTTTAGTTACAGAAGATCAAAGTTTTTGTCCCTATTTAATTTGCTTTCCATTGTAATTATATTTATTCACTCAAATATTGAAAAGCTACTATGTGCTAGATTCTATGTTAATTGTTTAAAGGAAAGCCCTGTGAATTTCAATGATTATTAGCAGTCTGGGTGGCAGGGCCAGTCTAGACCCAGAAATGATATTTAATCCCAATAAACATATTATTATTATTATATTTATCATATTTAATGATATTTATTCCCAATAAACAGCTTGTTGTAAGAAGGGGAAATCTCTCTAGCTAATATCTGTGCCCATTCTTCCTCACTACCCCAAGGCCTATCCTTATCTTACTTAAAGCCACATTTAGCTACATGACACCCCTCATCCCTATTCCCTCTTTTCTAGAGTTAAGAAACAAGACAGACATCCCAGCCCCCAAAGGCCAACCCAACTGTCTCAATTATGAGAATATGTAACATTTGGGATAGAGGAGTCTGTCCTTAAGGAAAACCTATACCAAAGTACCTTTAATGGGTTTATAAAACTTCCCTCTGAAACCAAATCTGCAGAATGAAAGGCATCAATTACCAATGAATTTGAGACCCAGACACTCTAGATAACATAGATCTGTGCTTCCCCAAATGATTGCTGCTAACAACACACACTACAGAGACACCAGGTGATTAGCAGCCTCAGTTGTTTGGTGTTATGTTTGCACTGCTGAGACCTCAGAAATTCAGCCTATACCTAAGTGGACAATACATAAAACCAAGGGTATAGTGACTTGTGCCAGAACCTATCACCTCCTCTAATCTCTGTATTGTCTCTGCTCTTCTGAGAAATCACATTAAATCAGAATTAAGGAAGATGTCCCAAATTTCAGCAACAACTCTACCATTCAGCAAAGAGAAGCCTCTGACAAAAGGCATGTAATTCTTCCTGTTTGATGAGAAGGTTGAACACAACACTTTCTGAATTCCCTTAGTGTGTTGGAAAAACAAGGATCTGGCAGTTAGTCCTAAGCTTGAACCCTGCCTCTGCCACTTACTCGCTATATATAGTCTTAAGCAACTTACCAAACTTAACCTCACCGGGCCTCCATTTTCTGATATATAAAATGGTTTCTGACAACACTTGCACCTTGCAGAACTGTATGGAGGATTCAAAGCAGAGAAATGTATGCAGAGCATACAGCAGTGTGTGAGACACATAGTGGAAATGGAGAAACTCTTCCAGAACCAACAATGGCATGATTCTCTCTAGAGATCACTGCAATAATAGCCCCAAATGGAGGAAATGGTGGAGGGGATCTAACCCCATCCACCTACTAAAAGAAGAGAGAGCTGCCATTATGCAAGGCATTCTGGAGAACACAGAGGGGCCACTGCCGCCAGAAGAGCCAAGCAGCTCTTAAGCAGGCTGACAGATATATTTAACTCGATGGAAGCTTTGGTGGTGGTGGTGGTGTCACTAAACCACTAGTCATGTCCAACTCCTATGACCCCACGGACTGTAGCCTGCCAGGCTCCTCTGTCCATGGGATCTCCCAGGCAAGAATACTGGAGTGAGTTGCCATATCCTTCTCCAGGGGATCTTCCTGACCCAGGAATCAAACCTGGGTCTCCTGCATTGCAGGTGGTCTCCTGCAATGCAGAAGGATTCTTTACCGACTGAGTTACCAGGGAAGCCTTAACTTTAAATGATTAAAGGAAGAAGAAAACAGATCTAAAGTAATTTTGAAAACAAAATGCAAACAAGTTAACAGCAAAGATTCAGAAACAGAGCTCAAGATCTATAATATTGGGACAGGCTTTCTAAAGATAAGCTATCTTGCTACCATCAGGATATAAAGCCAGGTAACACCCAAAAAGGACTGGGACTTGATTCTAGATGCAGCTATGGCACTAAAGGCAAAAAGCAGATGAAGTTCTCTGTCTTCGTTTTTCATCAGTAGAAGGGGCTGAAGCTAGACAACTTTTAAGGACCTTTGACCCCTTCCAATTAAAAATGTCTATCAATTCTGTAGATAAAGAAGTTGTGGTACATATACACAATCGAAAATTACTCAGCCATAAAAAGGAAGTCATTTGAGTCAGTTCTAGGAAGGTATAGAGCCTATTATGCAGTGAAGTAAGTCAGAAAGAGAAAAACAAATATCATATATTAATGCATATATATGGAATCTAGAAACATGGTACCGATGAACCTATTTGCAGGACAGGAATAGAGAAGCAGATATAGAGAACAGACTTTGGATACAGTGAGAAGAGGGTGGAACCAATTGAGAGAGTAGCATTGAAACATATATTACCATACGTAAAACAGATAGCTTATGGGAAATTTCTATATAACACAGGGAGCTCAATGCAGTGCTCTGTGACAACTTAGAGGGGTAGGATGGTGTGCAGTGGGGGTAGGTTCAAGAGAGAGGAGACATATGTATGTTTAAGCCTGATTCAAATTGCTGTGTGACAGAAGCCAAGACAATGCTGTAAAGCAATTATCCTCCAATTAAAAATAAATTTTTTAAATGTCAATTCTAAAAAGTCTTACCTGCAGATTTGGGGCAACCATCTGAAATAGTCAAGGTTGCCTCCAAGGGGCTGCAGAAGCACGTGCTGGAATGACAACTGGATAAACACTCACTAAAGACCGAGTTCGAGGAATTGGACAGGGATCCCGAAGCCCCATCACTCAGTTCATAAAACCCTACAAATCAAAACATCACTTAAGGTTAAGATCATGTCAAGCAAAAACACACATTTGTGCTTAAAAGGAAAAGGGGTAATCATGTACAAAAGAGAGAAAAGAGAGAATATGGAGGGGGGGGTGGCAATTTTGGTTCATGAGATATAGTGTCTTGACTTTAGGGTTTCGTTTCCAGCAATCCTCAGAAAAAGGCAAAGAGCCCATAACTATGAGTACATTTCAAAGTTGAGAGTACTCTCACTCTCAAACTGACCTTCCTCCTTGACCCCACCTTTAAAGATGGGCAAGGAAAGAGACTCAGATCTGTCAGAGTGTCAACTTTTTCACAAACATTTCAGAAAAAATAACTTGAAGAGAAAAACAAATCTATGTAAGGAGCCAAATGGTTTAGAGGGAAAAAAGAAAACTTTTGAAGTGGTCTCAGGAAGTTGAAGTGTGACTAATTTTCTAGCCCTGTTCCGACTTTCTCAAGTTTCAAAGGAGGATCGTGCTTCCAGAAATTTGCATAGAAGCTTTTATTTTTAAACTCAGGGGACTTCAGTCAGCTGAGTCTCATTGTTAAAAATTTTGTTGTCTAATGAACTCATCTATGAAACAGAAATAGACTCACAGACATAAGAGAACAGACTTGTGGTTGCTGGGGAGTGGTGGGCAGGGATAGATTGGGAGTCTGGCATTGACTGATACAAATCATTACATAGAAAATGGATGGCAATTTTCTCCCAATTAAAAATCAATTAAAAAAAAAGAAAACATAAACAACAAGATCCTACTGTACAGCACAGGAAACTATATCCTGTGATAATCCATAATAGAAAAGAACGTGAAAAAAGGATATATATACAAATAACTGAATCACTCTGCTAAACAGCAGAAATTAACACATCACTGTAAATCAACTATATTTCAATAAATTCATTGCTGATTTTGTTTCCCTGTCATGCAACTGAATAACAGACTTTCCTTGTTTTGTTTTGCTGTAGCGTCTCTGTACTGGAAACAAACTCCTTTGTCCTTTGCAGGTCTGGGGACGCCAAGCACAGGGGGCCTCAGAGACAGAACTCCTGACGGCAGCGTTTCTCCTTGTGCCCCCACACTCACCTGAGCTGGGGCGGCTGTCTGTCTCCAGGTGCTCTTCAGACGTCTTTTCCACATCCAGTCTCAAGTCACTTATCTGCTTGTCGAGTTCCTGCAACTGGTTCAACAAACCGGCATCTCTTCTCCTCAAACAATTCTAATGAGGAAGAAACAAAGAAGGGGGAAAAAAAAAAAAAACAACATTTTGGTGACAAAGAACTACAAAGTTGGCTCTAAGTATTCAAATTACCATCTGAAGAGATCCCTAAATTTTCCAAAACCAAAATTTTACTGGATGACCTGAAGCAAAGAAAAACTTCCAAGAATATGTCCTGTTTAATTCCACTTTCTCACATTTTGTGGTGATATAAAGTTTCTTCATAAAAACAAGACTTGCTTTCAGTTTCAGCTAATATATATACAAACCTACTTTTTATAGGTAGGGATATGAAAAACCCACTGAGACTTTTTTTAAAAAACCTCTGTGTACAGGCAATTTATTAGAAAACAGTACTTCACAGTAGACTCTTTAATTTGAAGTCAGAGTGTAACAGATTTCCTACAATACACTATAATCTTTCTCAGGTGAGATTTTCTGGCCAAATGTCCTGCAGAGCTTTGATTTCTATTAGTCACTTTGTGGGGTTTAATCAGTCTTAGGGCCTTTGAAAGAGAGAAACTAATACTAACAGCCTGTGCCAAGTATAATGTGAGCTGGCAGAATCCAAAACCCTCAAGGGAAGGGCCATCAAGATTTGAACTCAACTCGGGTTTCCAAAGGTGACAGGCTGTAGTGCTGTCACACCGCCACCTAGTGCTTCCTATTGCTGGGAAAGCAAAAAAAAAAAAAAAACCAAAACTCAAAGGCATCTGGTTCAAATCACAAACGCCAAGTCTACAAATGAAAATAGTACCACAAACACTGACTGGATGGGAATTCTCCTGACATGCTGTCCTGCTCCTCTCCAGGGAACAACAGGAATGCGCCACTCACAATTGTGAGATTCATGAAGACAAGAAGGTGCTATTGTATAAGACAATGCACACAATGTCAATGACCAGGCATAACCAGCAACAATTGAATCAGTCTGCTACCAAAACCACAGCAAAATGCCAACCCTGAAATATTGCACAAACCACTACTTCCACACGGCCTTACAAAACAGACGCAAATGAGTATGTGTTCCTCCTGTCTGTCCTTGAACTTGAAAAGCTTGGACACATAACATGCTTGCTTATTAGAAAGAATTTCTTCAGGAAAAAATGAACCAAACAAGTAAAATCACTTTGATGCTCAAAAAAGAGAGAGACAAACTATTTCAAAAAAGATAATACAAGAAAACACTGGACAACCACACGGCATCACTCTATTAGCAAGAGAGACATTATCTAGTGGGTGTCTAGTTTAAGATAGCATCACATGGTCAGATAAGGATTTTCTTTCTTTCTTTTTTTTTTTTTCTGTTTTCAAAACTACATTTTTGAGGTCATGGAAACAAAGCTGCCGCCATTTCTCTGAGGCTGGGTCAAAGCTGTTCATCAATACATTAAGCGTCAAAGTTCTTTTTCTTCCCCGTTAATGAAGACGGCAGAGAATGTCTGAGATGCTGACACAAATCCAATATGATAAATGCTCCCTGAGAGGAGGTTTTCCCTTCCGCCCACCTCCACCTCAAGTCACAACGAGCAGAACGTATGAGAGGAGGGGGCACTTTCTCCAGCCAAATTTCCATCATGTGCATCTGTTTTAGCCGGCTTATACAAAGGGCTTCTATCTGAAATTAAGCAGCAGAGTAGGCAAAAGCTGGCAGGCTGGAGTGGGGGAGCCCAGGGAGAGGCAGGCAGGGCTCCCCGCGGCCGCTTCCGTGTAATAGTAAAATTCGGCACTGGACAGTCAATTGCGCCCCCAAAGTCCCCTCCTCGGCTTTTGTCCCCTCTCGGCGGGAGGACCTGAAGGCAAGAAGCCCTCCAAAGAAATGCTATTTTAAATGAGGGTTTAACCTTCGGGGAGACGGCAGGCATTCGTTTAACTAGAGCGATTGGAGGTTCCGACCAGACGACTCCAAGAATCCCGAAGGCAGGGCCGGAGGAGAGAGCGGCCACCCTCGCCCGGGCAGTCCGCGCCGGGTCTCCGGCCCCTCACCTGACACAAAGCGGGCACACGCCGGGATCGCGTGGGCGTCGGCAACCCACGCGCCCCCGGGGACCCGCAGGAACCCAGGTCAGGGAAGGGCCGGGCGGGGGTCCCGGGAAGCCAGAGGGTTGCTCCTAGCTACAGGCACCCACCACGGACCACCTGCCCGATCCCCGGCCGTCTGCAGGGACAACCGTGCCCCCACCTCCGGGTACGACCTACCAATTGCTTCCGCAGCAGCAAGATGTTCTCCTCCAAGAACTTCTCCTCCAGGCGGTTGCGCTGCGTCGCCTCCCCCGGCAGCTCCCCGGCGCGGGCTGCAGCGGCCCCCGCGCCGCCGGTGCCGCGCAGGGCGCCCCGGACCAGCAGCTCCTGGCGCTGGCGCAGGTACTCCAGCTCCGCCAGCCCGGCCAGCGTGGCCTCCTGCCGCTCGCGGGTGCGCTGCCGCTCCGTGTCCGCCTCGCCCTTCTCCCGCCAGCGCCCCTCAGGCTCCGCCGTGCGCTGCTCTCCCCGGGCCAGCGCCGGCGGCTCCTGCTCCTTAGCCGTCCCGGTCGGACTCGGCTTCATGGCCCCCAACCCGGCCGCACGCACCCGTCCCCGCAGCCGGGCCGCCCGGGCGGAGGAGCGGGCGCTAGGGCTGCGGCCTCGGGCTCATGCCTCCGGGCGGCAGGGCGCGGCGGCGGGGGCTGGCACCCGGAGCGCTCAGGACCCGCGCGCGGCCCCGGGCTGCAGCCGTCCGGGCCCCGGGCGGCGCCGTCCGCTGTCGCCGCGCGTCCCTCGCCGCGGCCCCGCAGCTGATAACGCCCTGCCCGGCGCTACGTCACGCGCGGCGGCCAGGCGAACCCCCGCCCGGCGCCCGCCTCCCAGCGCCGGCCCCTCGGCTGCGAGGCCCGCTCCCCCTCGGCTTCCCCCTCTAGTGTCAGGGGCGCCGCTCGCGCTCGGCGCCGGCCTCCTGCTCGCCTGGCCCTCCCCGCTCCTCCCTCTCTCCTCCCCCGCTCTTCCCGCGGGCCTGCTCGCCCCCTTTTCGGGTTTACGGCACCCAGTTTTTGCCTCGCTTCTTATTGGTTCTTTACAATCGCACAAAGCCGGGGGCGAGCACCCCAAGCCCCAGCATCCTGTTACAGCCGGCTTCGCAGGCAGGTTCCGCCAAGGGACGCAGCAGTTGGGCTCCCCAGAGAACTTTCTGAAACTCGACCGAGTTGCAGCCCACCACGTTAACCCTTTCCCCACACGTCCACTGTTCGTATCCACTCAGGCTGCTTTAGGTTTCTTCCACCTTACCAAGCAAGGTGCTGCGAGTGGATTCAGAGACTTTTTCTTGGAGTTGGCTTTTGTGACTCCAAGTTGTAAAGGCAAGCACTCCAAGGCACAGTGCAGCGTTGTCCGAAAACTGTTGAACTCTTGGTTTTGTTGCTGTTGTTTTAATCTTTTCATGGAAGGCGTTTAAAATTAGGCAGGAGGATGTCGCTGTACAGTCAGCGGTTGCATCAATTCTTTTACAAGCTCCGGGCTTAGGGGGTGCGCGTGCGCGTGCGCGCTTTGGTTTTTGTTAAGAGTTTTTTATTGTTGTTATTTAGTCTGCAAGCACAGGAGCTCTGAAACCGGATTGCCTGAATTTGAATCCCCTTTCCTGCCAAGACTAGCTGCGCAGGCAAGTAACTTCACCTCTCTGTGCCTCCGTTTCCCCAAGGGTAAAATGGAACTACTAACAAGGTGCCTGTTGTAAGAATTATAATAATATACAGTATATACTATATATAAGGTGTGTTTACAATGGCGCAGGCACATAGAGAGTAAAGGTTATGTGAGTTAAGTTATATTTTTCTTTTCTTCCTCCAGAAGGGCTTAACAAACTTGCCCCCTGCGGTAGCATTTGTAATATTGTCATCTATGCTTGGGACACTGGTCTCAGGGCATTTCAGTGAGATGGGGTCTGGAAATGCCTCTCGCCAGCTTGTCCATGGGAAAGTGCCATATCTATTTTAAAAGCAGTACATCCAAGAGCCTCAGAAATCGAATTCAGCCAGTTGCAGTTTGCTGAAGTTCAGGCACAATGTTGTGTGAAGGAGTGCATTCTCTATCATTATTTAAGACTCTTAGACCTTTCTTAAGCTTCTTACCCCTGTAAAAATTCTTCCTTTCTCCCCTCTGTGTGGGCCAACCTTCTTCCCTCCAAGATCAGTTCATTTCTCTCCTCTGAATTCCAGTCAACCGCATGAATATTTGATTCTTACCAAATGCTATTTGCATGGTTATTTATCCGGGTATGCACACACATACTATGTACATAGGTGTTTATGTGCATCTATTCTCTCCAATTACATTATTAGGATTCCCTGAAGGCAGTGATTATTTTTCTCTTAGTGTTACTATTGGAAAAGACTCATTATAAAAGACCCTGATGCTGGGAAAGATAGAAGGCAGGAGGAAAAGGGGAAGACAGAGGACAAGATGGTTGGATGGCATCACCGACTCAATGGACACAAGTTTGAGCAAACTCCGGGAGATGGTGAAGGATAGGGAAGCCTGGCCTTCTGCAGTCCGTGGGGTCGCAAAGATTCAGACACGACTGAGTGACCTAACAATAAGTATTACTATACTTAGGACAATGCCTTTGCAAGCATTCAAGAAACTGCAGGTTGGTTGTAAATTGTTTTCTCATTAACACACTTTCTAACTAACTTAATCTCTGCAAAAAATAGTTTCACATTTACCAAAAAGCAAAAACAAGAGTTCTCTAGCCACTCTCCATTGACCTCCCCATTGCTGCCCTCACAGACACAAATGGAACTATAACTACAACCATGATTCATAATTAACCAGATTGTATATTAAATCTAAAAATGTAAAAATGGAATTATGCTTGGATGCTCATCAGCATGCAAAATTAATTCTCTTCAGCTCATCTAAGCTTTTTGCCTACTGTGTGCCAAACACAGTACTTGATAATAAAGGAACTAAATTTTCCTTCCTAAATTTAGTAAAGCACTAAAGAATAATGACTGGTCCTCTTTGCCAAATGCCACGCCCCTATGTCCTCTGTCACTGTCTCATGCTATTCATTTATAGGCAAGTTTCTTGCTTTCTAGTTCTGAATTAGATTCCTTCTGGCTGGGTGGAGTCTATTATTGGGGCCTGTGTTATGTCATACACTGACAACTATATTTATATAGTTGAGAGGGGGAAAAAAGCTGAAACATGTTTTTACACACTACTAATAAATCTTGTTAAAGTAGACAGACAAGTCACTGTGTCTCCAAACCTCTCTACCTCCCCAGCCCCCTCCTCACCAAATGCCACTTCGAGCTGGCTCATTAGCCCAAAGCAAACCATTTGCCATAACAGCCTGTACATCTCCATGAAAAAGTGTTCCCAGCAAGTTTAAATATTAAAACTAATGTATTCAAATGGCTCCACCAATAAAATGGTCACAAATAGGAAAAGAGGTTATGCTTTCCAAAGTATCCATTACACATTAATAAATAATGCTGTTCATTCATGCGCCAATTAAAACAAACTCAGGCTGTCAGATGAAGTTAGAAGCAAGGAGCTCAACACTGTAATTGTTTTTCCAGGAAAACTAATGTTGTCAGATTAAGTGTGCCTGGTTGGGTTGCCCCTATTCTCTTCTTAACCCAACAGCCTGTTTTTCTCCTCTCCGATTTACTCTTTCTTCCTAAGGCTTTCTTTCCTCTTTGAGTCTTTGTTTCGGGTGCAGGTATTTGGGAAGCAGTTGAAGGTGATCACCCACTGTTTGCTGCTCCCTCCTGTCAGTGACAGGATCTCACTTCGCCCTACTGTTCTGATTTTTCTTTCCTTTTCTTTTTAAAGCAAGTGCTGGTGCTTCTTCCTCCACCAGTGCTACGTTGTTATCTCCTTTCTAGTATGGCTCAGCTCTCTTTAGTTCTTTTGCTTTCCCTGGAGGCCTCTGTCTTCTCAGAAAGGCTGCTAATCGACACTCAGAATGTGTGACATTAGAGACAGGTTGGATCTGCCACCCAGAGGATCTAGAGAGTAAGATAAAGTTGCCAGCATGAAAAGGAATCTTGACTGAATATATCACAGTCGTGTGGCTTACGCTTAAAGACATTTCCTGGGCAGAGCCAGGAAAGGTCCCTCAGATGACAGAGTCTGACGCCTTGCCCTTGGGCAGAACAACTCCCAACAGCAGCCCCACAAAGTCTGAGCATCATTGTACAAATGCCTTATCCAGCAGTGAACATTTTTTTGCAGCCCAGCAAAGTAAGGAGCGTCAGTTGCATGTTTTGCTATAGAGCAATGCAACCAAATGATGCCTTCCAGCTTTTATGGCCAAACAAACACAAATGATGTAATTGGGAAAAGCTGTCTCCGAATAGGAGGGAAAAAAATAAAGGGCAGTCTTTTGAGTTGGGGTGATGACCACCATCCTAGGGACAGGGATCAAAGCTCCAGCCAGACATCAAAGCCCATTTGAGTCTAATGCCAGAAGAGCCACAGTGAATTAAACTTCATATATAAACTAATTATAGCTTGACCCCCACAATTAAGCTTCAGTGAGCACATAGAGGAAAGAAAGCAGACATTGAAACAAAAGATCAAGAGAAAAGAAAGTTGGTAGCAAAACTGGGCAACATCATGGCCCTGACCACTTTACAAATCCTTTGAGGGCAGAGGGGAGCCAGGGAATGGCAGCGGAAACAGCAACCTTGGACAATGCAGGTCTTGTCTGCAAGGCTATGAGACAGCGTCTACTCTCACTGACTTGTGCACAACCAGAGGCATCTTTATTCCTGGAAGAAAAGGTTATCGTTTAGCTTTTTCAGCATTGTTAAAGTTCCCCTTCACGAGATTTCTCTTGAAGGAGTGAGCACAAGGTGATTCCATGAAGTCTGGGGGTGAATTCCCAACACATCTGTCTGGCAGTGCCTGGCATTCCCCACAGTCTATCACAGATGTCGACACCAACTTGGAACTTCAGTCCCTTAGCTCTGCCATGTCAGCTAGTCGTCTTTATAGATGAAATGTGTAGCACAGCAACTGTGCAAATTCCCTAGAGCTACCTGCTCTGGTACTAAGACCATGAAAAAAGACTACTTCATCCCCAGGGCAAAATTTAGACGTGTTTCAGTTACAAGTAGCCTCTTTAAACAATTATATTGAGTAAATTTTACCCTTACTCTGATTTGTTGGGACCAGTCACCAATTTTTTGAAAGTCTCAATTGTATGAACTGGTAAACCATCGCACTCCTGATCTGACAATCCATAGACTATTTTCAGTCTTTTTTTTTTTTTGTAGATAAACATTAGTGCTTTCTTAAAATCACAAAGTCCAAACTTATTACCTGAGTCTCTTGGTTAAGAGAAAAAATTCAAAGCAGGCACTCTTATAAAAATAAATATACACCATCATTATTACATTACATCTCTTTGAGTGATTACTTATGTATTCAATAGATATTTGAGCAGCTAAGACATGTCTGGGACTGGGCATACAGTGGTTAACAAATCAGTTATAGTCCCTACCTTCTTGGAGCTTAAGGTCGAGGAGGAAAACTGGCACTAATTAAACAACTGCACACATTTG